TACATAATTCAAGGCTGAGATTCTAGTTCTCAGGGGAGGTCCTTACACTGGGTATAGGAAACTGCCTTCATGCTGCCTAAGCTGTGGGCTACCATCATTGTTACGCAGATAAAACCACAGAGCAAAATTAAGGCTACGTCTTTACTGCAGAACTAACTCAAGTCATCTATGCTTGCTGTTAAGTCCCCTCAGGGTAGTCTGGTTTTAGTGGAAACATCCATGAGCTAAATGATTAGGCTAGCAAGGCACATGCTAAGAATTGTTGATCTGTTCTCATTTGAGATTGAATCCACGCAGACTAGCAAGTTCTAGCAAAACCCAACAGTACTGAGTTATGGGGTTTTGTTTCTGGAGAACAGTCAAGTTAGCATGCAGTTGGATGTCACAGCTGAACCAAATTCAAATGGTTTGTTACTACCAAACAGCAAGGTCCTGTCCCTCCTTTCACCCCAACTCCTGCCCTTGTGGTCTTCCCTAGTCTGGGCTACAACTCTCTCTCTCTTTTCCTTTTTTTTTTTTTTTTTTCCCTAAACTCTGCCAGGTTGTTTTTCTGCAGGATTAGCAAACGGCACAGACTAACTGAGAAGCTCAGCCAGCAAAAAAAAAAAAAAAAAAAAAGCAGAACCACGTGCCTTGGAGCAGAGGGAAACAATACTTTCCCTTAAAGAGCAGTTTAGATATCACATCTAATTGCCAACTTAGGGGAAACCTTCCAATCAGGGCTGCAGCAAAGACAGTGACACTGTCTTTCCTTACCTTGTGACTGTGTTTGAATCACCAAAACAACTATTGTCACTCAGAGGGGACTGTAAAATGCTATAGATATCTGGGCTAGTCTTTTACTAGAAATGGAACAGTAGGAAAGAAAGATAATAAAAACACAACCAAAAAAAAAAAAAAAACCAACCCACCCACCATCGTGAAAGTACTTCCTATTAGGGTTCAAACTGGGCTCAAGTACCTGAGGCTCCTTTTTTAAACAAAACAAAACACCCTGGAGTTAAATATAGTAAATTTTAAAAGGACATAGATAAATACTCTTGCCCTGGAAACATGGCCCTCAGGCTCCCTATTTGCTGCATTATTCTTCAGCTGGCAAAATGGAAAGCTGGCAGCCACCCAAGGTATTCAGACAAAGCAGTCTAATTAGAAGCTACTTAGCGCATCATGAACCGAAATATATGCTAATAAAAACATCATTAGCTAACTTGTGAAGAGATTGCTCTTAGGGGAGGCAATCTTCGCTAACAATAACATAACTGTTGTGAATTTAAGTCCTGAAGTCCAGGGCAACAATTCAAGGCTGATGGGGAAAAAAGCAAGATGGAAGAAAAGAAAAATGTTTCAAAAACATTTTGGAAATAGTTGGGTGGAGGGAAGTGACACTGAAAAAACAGAGTAAGTGAGCCGATCTGACAGCGCATGAACACAAAGCACTTGGTTCTGCAGAGACCAGTACTTAGACAGAGAAAAGCAGAGGGATTTTTTTGTTAAGTGTGCAGCTGGTTTAAGGTTCTCTCTATATAAGAAAGGGAAAAGAAAAAGCAAGACAAAAGGCTTAACAAGCTCTCTCCTTTTGTAATCAACTAAACTACAGTGTACATTCTCTGCAGCAAATGCTGCTGGAAAGCCGTGTACTAATCTCCAGGGTCTCCTTTGAGAAGCATGCTGAACAGGCACTTCTGTCATAATGTTGCTGGGAGTGTTTTTGATCTCCATTTCCTACTGTATTCTTGTCGTTACGCAGAAGTGACATTTGCTCATTATTTCCTACAAAAATGGAAATTCCAATTCCTTCTCAGAGAACTCTGACTGCGTATCCAAGTTTCCTCACACAAAAGAAAAAAATATTATATCTAGTATCCCTATGAATCAGAAGCCATCTGTTCTCCATGACCAAGCTCTTGACTTCCTAGCCTGTATATTACGTTCCTTCAATGAACTCAGGTATTACAATAAGCTTTGTGAACTAACAGCAACCAACATTTCTGAAGGCTTGACCAGTTGAAAATGGATATCTGAATGTTGATTTAACGCCTCAAGGGGGTGCTGAGTGCTTCCAACTCATTTCCCTCTCGTCTATGCTTCCTGAGCACCCAGTACATGACTTGTTTTCCAGAAACAGCCACATGAATTTCCACAGTTTTTCCCAACTGACTGAAGACAGCCAGTAGGCACACTAGTTCTCTCAGAGGATTGCTTAAATAAGCATTTGTGACTAAGGCATTTCAGAATGGTTTGTCTACACCCTTCAAGCCGACACTTTCCTAGCCTGTTACACAGAGAAATCTATGAACGAGTAGCACAGAAGTGCTGCTGCTGTTATTACCTCCTGCCAGGTCTACTGTTTTTAAGGGCTGAGCATAACTTTTAAGCCTCAAGGAGGCCTTCAGTTACATCTCCTAGGAGGTACTGTCCTGCTGGTAAACTCTGCTGTCAACAGTGGTGCGTAAGAGCAGACTGAGGAAGTTCAGCCTGGAAAGCACGAGAGAAGGACACCCTAAGCACGCAGCTACAGCAACAGGTGGCACAGCTGGGGAAGTACAAAATACCCTGACTCCAGAATAAGCACACCTAAGTCCTATGCTTGGCCTTGCATTTAGAAGAACAAAGCCAAACGATGACAATATTGAAAGAGCAGTAAGTCCTAAACATAGTTCTTAGCAGTATAGACAACAGAAGTGTTGAGGAAACATGCAGACTTATCACTGGAACACAGACCTTAACAAAACGACAGGGAACAAAGGAAGGACAACAGCTCTCAAGGCATAAAACACTGTTTGGAATACATCTGTTAGTACACTGTGAAAAACAGTGATAGGCCTGAAGTTTGGGGTAACCTGGAGGTTTTGCATAATCACTGTTGTTCAGAGAAATAAATTAACAGTGGCAGACATTCATTCTTGAACAGCAGATCAAAAAGAGTAACTAAAGTAACTAAGTAGCTAGAATCCCAAATACAAGTTAGAAGGAATAAACAATTGAGAAGCACAAAGTGTTGAGCTGTAAAATGGGGATGTTCCACGGTATTGAACTACTTGGAACAATATCGACCTCATCCTGGGAAACTGAGCTCTCTCGGTAGCTAGTGCTCAACATCCATCAACATGATTTACTGTACCACTGCAGATTCCAAAGGCCCTAGTAAAGGATTGAGAATAGATTGTGCAAATACAGAAGAAAAAGATGGTCCCTGGCCTAAAGAGGTTGCAGCTCAGGATTACGCATAAAAACTGTAACCTCATTTATCTGGAATAGATGCACAGCAATTTAGCCAGATTTTGGTGGTCACTGCTCGTTATCGTTGGATTAAAAAAGAAAGAGAGAGAGAAGGCACGAATGAGCAAGAGAGAGATCGCACATGCACGTGAGCAGATGATGTTTAACTGAAGTATATTTTTGGAAAATGACTAGCTCAGTCAAGAGAGGAAACATAAGGGACTGGATGGGAAGGATGAATTTTGTGTCCAAGAGTCACAGCTCAGTCACAGATTTCCTGCTTCAAATGAGGCATAGTGAATATGATTTATTAATATATACCTACTTCAAAAAGTAATACTCTTAATGTGTTTCGAGATGCTTAAGACTATGTGGGAAATATACTAGTTATTATATCTAAATCTCAAGAACTGAGTTTTGTGAGCTAGAAGGAAAAAAGAAAGCAGGGTGCGGCAGAGAGAGAGAATAAACACGGAAACACAAACCATGGGAAAGAAAACCGAACCTCTGCTACCTATGACCACTGAAACTCCACATACACTTGCCATATTTAGTTAGTTATCAGTTCCAGATTATGCAAAAACAGAACAAACAAGATTCAAGGCAAGGGAGGATGCTGTACTTGACATATGTTTTTAAAGATCCCTATTCCCATCATAAATAACATACTGAATTGCTAAGAGTCAATGGATTTCATCAGGCACGCTTTACATCATACTTTACATTGCATTTAAAAACACAAGCATTTCCTGCACCTAACAGCAAAAATCTTTATTGCCTACAAGTCCCATGCAGGGTGTGAGGAACACAGTAGGATGTAGAAGAACCCATATTACAGTTTGAACAAGCATCTCATTTTTCCCAATCCTAAAATGAGAATAACAGTTACATTTTTCTAATAGCAGGAACAGTGTCATTTCACATGAAAGCATGAAAATACTTTATAATAGGTGCATGGGTTTTTGCATTTCTTTCAAATGTCCCAACATAAACGTGGGCATATACTATGAGAACTCTACAGTCAGCCTATACAGAATATTGCTGCCATTAAGACTATTAAAACAAACAAACAAACAAACTATGCCCATATTCAATGTCCCAACACAGGAGAACCTCAGAGCCACCACCTATGCTCAGACCACCGGCCAGGCCATGTACTAGATGTCAAGCTCCTTCCAGTGTGAATGAAAGCTGCCACACATAAAACTGATGAAACAACAGAGGAATTGCCCAGCTAGCTAAAGACTGGTTGGGCACAGCCTGAGCTGTGCTGAGGGAAATGACCAACCTGATTCCCACGGCATGACATCAGCTGCTGCAAAAGATCTGAATCTGGGCAGAGGTAACATCTGCAGGCTGGGGCACAGCTCTGCAGGGAAAAGGAACCTGAAATCCACAGTGGGCTTCACTTTTAGGTAAGCTGTGTTGTCAGCCTGCCTCTGTGTTTTCCCATCCGTGAAATGGGAACCTGTACATCAAGTGACCGCTGGCTACCTAGTTCACAGAGCCCTGTAAAGATTCATTAGATTTATACTCGGGAAGCCTGAAGCTGAAAAGAAGAAAAGTGCACCAACACTTCAAAAGAGATGAGTATAACAAAAATGTACCGCAAAATAATACTCACCCGCTCCTGACCAGCTGTATCCCAGATCAGAAATTTATGAAGCTCATTCCCACAAGGCACAGTTTTAGTCATGAAGGATGCTCTGCAAAGGAGAAGTAACAGCCAGATCTCCTTTACTGATAATCCCCGATAAAGAAGGAAACAGGAATTCATAAGACCACCAATATACCACTATACATGCTACCTATAGACTTTACGCACATTTGCTGGGTTAGACTACATACGGGGAAACCCCAAACTCTTGATAAAAACACCCTCTGAAATGAAAGCACCCGTATCAGATTAAATATGTAACACATATATATTTATTTCAAAAGGAGGGAAAAGCCTTTGAGGTTCAGATGGCTCTTTGTGTGTGGGCCGAGGAACTCAAATGCTCCTGCCACTCACACGCTGCTTCTACCGCTAGTTAGCTCCATCTTCTTGGAGATGTGGACCTGAGAACAAGCAAGTCAGCATCACACCAGGCTACGAATACATGATTTCTCAGTTAAATCTAGGAGACTGGAAATGTACACTACCACTGATTATTTTGAATCAGACAAGTCACCTGCTGAAACACACACGGTAAACAAATAGAAGAGAGTTCTCTCCTAAATATAAAAATCTTTGTAGCCTCTTTGCTATTTGTACATTACAGCACGAGCTTACAAAGATGCATTTGATACAATGCACTGTCATTACAAAAGCACCAAATTACATCAAATGACATACAACTGATCAAAATATTTCCCGGGGATGATACACCAGAGTTTCCCTCTACAGCCATCTGCAAATTGCTCAAATTTAGCGATGCTGCACTGCATATAAAAATATTAAATGAAGGCAAGAAAAGCAGAGTTTTCTTTGGTTGGCTTCAGGGTGTGCGCTTTCATCTGTCATACTTCTCGAAGTATTAAGCAACACTTTACAGCTTCAAAAACAGGAACTTCAGAGCATCAGCAGCTGTTGTGGGTTACAAAGATCATATATTTAATACCTTTGGTTAATTCAGAGCGGGAAAAAAAAAACTTATCCACATAGTTGGCCTTTATAGACAAGCAATATCACCCGCATGTAAACTAGCACTCACATTTGAATCCTCAAAAAGAAAAACATTTCCCTCTGTTACCATAATAATGAAAAATAATGTTTTTTTTTTTTTCATGTGAGCAGAAGACATTGACTTAGCAACGACAACTACTTGGGAAAAAAGGCTGATGATGATTTAGAACTAAAGGGTCACTCAAGTTTTCATCAATTCCTTCACTGCAAACAAGTATCCTTCAATCAACAATGCTATTCATTATATGCTTCCCTCCTTCCCTTTTCTCTGTCCATTTTCCTCTACTCATTATATTCAGGAGTCCAAAATTGTTCTGGAACCTCAAAAGGTAATGTCCAGCTGACATTCCTTCCTGCATTCAAAGATAGAGGTTTGGAAGAAATCTCCTAACCCTCTGAACAATACACTCAAACAGCATTAGTCCTTCACAGAAGATTTAAAATAGCTATAACCCGCAAGCAAGATCAACCCTTCCCATCCAAACTATTCCTTTGTAAACAACATAGATCAGCTTCCTCTCCCATAAGAGATCAACAATTTTCAAAATTTTCCAGGTAATTATGGACTAGGGAGATTTATTCCTAAAATGGTAAAAAGAAAACTTTTTGGAATTAAAGTCAGCTATATGACTAATAGGCTTCTGATGGTCTGTCACTCAGAAGTTTGGCAGTTTTATGATAAACAGGGGCGAATTAATTATATTTTGTTTAAATTGCATTATCCTGTCATTCTAAAAATAGGGACAATGTGACACATCCTAAACTTAGATGAAAGCATATACACATCTGGGAACAGATGCTGTTAACATTTCGGGCTAGCCTGACAATACCTACAACATAGAACTGCTGGGAACCCTTAATATTCCTACTACCATTGCTTGAATGTAGGACGTCTTGGTATTCATGCAAACCACAGCCTGTTTGGGTTGTGGGGTTTTGTTTCTTCAAGCTCCAAGGATCAGATTTGGTACTCCACTGACTAGTAGGAACTAAAGTGATTTTAATCCTAAGGTCCTATGACCAAGGCATCATCTAAAGTGGGAAGCTCTTGACAGATAAAAAGAAAAAGATGCAGCGTGAGTAAGAGACCTAAGAACCTCTCTGTATAATATGGGTGAAGAAAAATATGGTCAATTGTGCAATGGACAGCACTAATAAAGGATTTATAGTATTATTTAGGTTTTAGGGGCTTACTTATAGTAAAAAAGAGCACGGTTAAGTTTTTCTGTTTGTTTGTGTTAATGGAAATCTGAAATCTCTCTACATTTACATCAATACAAACAAGATCAGGGCTTGGCCTCAAGTCTTTCTTCTGTGAAAACCCAGAAGAACTAGTCCTCACTTATACTGATTTCCTAATTGTTCTGGTACATAGAAAGGAAACGTTTAGTAGTGTAGGTGCCATCGTCACCTAGGGAGTCCATGACATATATAATACCATATACCTCTGCAAACAGTGAAGTAGACCAAACAGCTGGAAGTCACGACTGTACGCAATAAGTCAATATAGAGTGCTTATAGATAGCTCCAGAGGAGAGGTGATTTCAGGAAACTCCAGTCACATCAGAAATGGCACAACTTTGTCAACTTCTCTATGACATACTGCAATATAGTAGGCTGAGGCCCACTCTGTATTACCAGAAGAACGAGAGCAGAGTAGACCTGGTTCTGGGCCACCCTGGACACTCTAAACAGGTAACGTGAGGTGAGAAGAATTAAAGGCTTCTAAAGGGTTAAAAAGAAATGATAAATTAGAAAGAAAAAGAAGACATACAATTACTCAGAGCCTTTAAAGTTGGGAAAAGAAGGGAGTTCAACTGAGGGAAACAGGATAAAAAAAAGTATATTAAAAAAAAAAAGATACCACGCAGAGTACTTACCCAATAGTAGGACTAATATTGTGATCAAAGTGGTCCTGGACAAATCGACAAACTATGCTTGATTTCCCAACCCCAGTATCCTGGAAATAAATGAAAGCATGACAGTGAATTCAGCAGATCAAGATACCAAAAGAGTCAAATATTAATTTGTGAATAAATTCTCTCTACTGGTAAGTGGAGCAGACTAGACATTTAAAAAGAAAAGATAGTGCATGGATTATTTTTAAACTGTCATCATTGTGCACGTAACTCCCCAGTTCTCTTCCCAAGATTCCCTTCTCTTGGGGAAGGGGTGCATTTTATATTCCTGTTGCGAACATTGCAGTAATTTACGCGCAGCCATTTACGAGAAAGGAAATGCTGCACTTTCAAACACATGGTACATCACCCAGCAAAACCGTCATCCAAAGGGACAATTTCAGTCAGACCTGTTGCAAGGGTAGCCCAAGTATGCTTCCAAAATAAAACGCTACTAACCTTTGGTATACTAACTGTACAAACTTAGTACAACTAACCTTTTTAGGGAAAGACAAACAAGCATACTGGGTAGAAACTCCATAAAGGCTTTAGGTGTTTCTGGTAAGGCAGGAATCCAAAGAGCTGAATACCCCACGACACGCAAATATCCCTACGCAGGTTGTGTTATCGGACTGTGGTAAAACAGTATTACTTAGATACAGCACAAGTTGCTCTATACACTGCAACACGGCAGCCCGCTTCCATTTGCGGTAACAATCTTTTCCCCCAATCAGTACGGAAAAATAACACGACTATACAGTACTAGAATCAACTTCAGAATTGCCTCTGGAGGAAGGAGGGGTGCAGGGGAAGCTTGATATCACTCAGTAATACTATTTTAGGCATTTAAGGTATGAACAGCGTCCCCAAGAACCCATTGTTTTCCAGTTTCTCTGCTGTTCCATGAAGCCTCAATGTTACGTACAAAAACATAAGTTACACAGAAAATTATAAAGGAAAAATTATAGCAGTATCATTGCATCTCCAATAGAACTGCAAAGAGCCTCCTCAGAGACAAAAAGGATGCAAGGAAATCAATCTCGACCTTTCCAAGACATTAACAAGGAAGCCCAGGGTCCAATCTAAGTCATTAACAAGTCAGTGGAAAGTTTTCCATTAATTTCATCATAATTGATCATAAGGACTATCTGTAAGTTCCATTCGTTCCACATTTTAAGACGTTGAACTAATTTATACAAATTTCTCAAAAAGTGGCAAGGCAAGAGAGCACAGTTTGCTGATAACTCTACATACGTAATTACATATGAGAAGGAAAAAAAGAAAAAGCCTTTGCCTTTCCTGTAAACCATTTTGCAATCTTGCAGCTTCTATTCAACTGTGAAAGAAAAGAAAAGGTAGTATTTAGAGTTCCTTCCCCCACGTTTACACAAATCTGTATCACCACTGCAAGCAGTCTTTATATACAACACTTACTAGAAAATCATCATTTAAACCCTCGTATTTAATTCAAGACAGTCCTTAGTCAGCTTAAAAGACATAATAAATGCTCATACTACACCGACTGTTGTTTATGTGTTCAATCAATACACAAAGATCAAAAAGAGTAACAGTATTTAAAACCAGCCCAGTAGCCTTTGGTCAATAGCAGCAACACATCCTCTTGCTATTCCCAAATTTTGCCTTCATTATCAATTCCAGCTGATATCTCTGTACAATTACTAGACTAGAATGGCACAGTGCATTTTTTAAAAAGTCCTCTGTGCTGAAACTGAGAATCTAATTATTTTGTTGGACTTAAACCTTCTGGAGAAAACCAGAACTACCACTCTGGAAGAGAGTTGTGGGGACACCGTTTCCTACACAGTACTTAGAACCAGATATTGATCTCTGTGATGATGCCTTACTCTCCTGTACCTTTTTCATCTCCTTTGATAAGTCACTAATAAGGGCAACGGCAATTAAATCACTTCAGTAAGAGGATCTTGGTGTCCGGCAGGGATGTGACATCTACAAGTGAAGATTAAAGCATAGCGCATTTTTCTGCAAGCTCCTACATCTTCAACTTTCAGTTCACGACTCTTACTAACATTTCACGCTAATGTTAACAAACTTTACAAGTTTCTGTTTCCCTAACATCTCTCCCACCAAGTACAGCCAAACTTAGGTACGTAGAGGCAATCTTAGACTTCGCTCATGTGATTGCTTAACTATCTAGTGGGCTAAATTTACCCCTGTGAATATATAACTCCAGTGAAATCAATGGACCTGGACCAGAAATGAACCTGGCTTACTGTCTTTAGGACTATCACTACTGCAGCCAGTAGCAAGAGCTTTCCAGGAGCCAGTTAACTTAGTACCTGAAGGGGTTCAGTTGAAACATGCACGCCCAGCTTCTGTTTTATTGCCTTGAGGAACTAAAAGGCCAGCTACCAGAGTATAATTAGACCACACAAAGGAAATAAAAGAGAAAAAACTTCCTTCTTAGAGTAATAATTATTATTCTATCTCTAGATTAAAACTATCCAGACAATTTTCAGTCCATGTTCCTATACCCATCAAGTAAGACACCCACCTGCCTGAAAGCAAAGCAAATCATGATGTGTGAATGTTATAAAACAACTTGAAAACCTAGTAGAAATTTTATATTGCTAATCAGACCCTATCTTTCACTTACAATAGGGAGGTATCTTCCAGGTAGACCTCTCAGAAGTCAAGGAAAGCATGGCTGCTTCAAAGAAGTAGAACAGGCATCCAAAGAAGTAGAAAAGGCATCCACTTCACTGCTTTACTTTACTTTACTCTTTACTGCTAAGGCCAGCTCTGACCCCAATTCCTGACCCCAGAGACAAGAGAGAAAGTCTAGAGAAAGAAAGACTTTCCCTTGGTCGAGGAGGATCAGGTTAGAGATCATTTGGGCAAACCTGACATCCACAAGTCCATGGGCCCCAATGGGATGCACCCACGAGTGCTGAGGGAGCTGGCGGATGTCATTTCTCCAGGCTCAACACAGGTACATCCCTACGAGTAAGAAGTCCAGTAAAGTGGGCAGAAGACCTGCACGGATGAGCAAGGAACTCCTGGCAAAACTCCAACAGAAGAAGGAAGTCTACAGAATGTGGAAAAGGGGACAGGCCACTTGGGAGGAATAGAGGGACGTTGTCAGAGCGTGCAGGGATGCGACAAGGAAGGCTAAGGCCCATTTGGAATTAAATCTGGCAAGGGATGTCAAGGACAACAAGAAGGCCTTCTTCAAATACATCA